CATATGTGTTGTTTTTAGGTGCTTGACAAATACTCTCCCCCAGACCACTATCTGCCCGAGTCCTACACCTGCTTCTTCCTTCTGAAGATGCCGAGATACTCGTGTCAGCGTGTGCTCTGTGAGAAGCTCAAGTACGCTATCCACTTTTGCAAGTCAATAGATTCTGATGATTACGCCAGGATTGACCTGACAGGCGAACAGGCTGAGGAATACGATACTGACGTGGAGGCGTTTTAGCTGCAAATCTTTGAAAAAAAGTTTAATCATAATGCGGTGAATTAACAGCACATGACCTTTTAATTTTATGGTCTCCATGTAAGATTCCTTCTTCAAAGCCAGGTATGGCTTTTAGTGGATTAATTGTTGGGAAAAGGATAATTTTCTAGATAAAAAATTTTATGCCAAATGTATTGTCTTCCGCTCAATGGAGTCACAGATCGAGGATAAAATTTGTATTACGCTTGGTTCCGCGCTCACATCTTCCGAAATTTTTCAAAATGCTGGTGTAGATGTTGGAAGAAAAATTGCGGGCCATGTTTGCGCCTGTGCACGGGAGTGTCTGCTGTAACTTATGTAGAGTCCTACCGTCAGATTTACTCTACTGTGATGGTACTTCGACAATTCATTGTATACTCTTGCCCCGAATGTTTGTGGTGGAGTTAATGTAATATGATAAATGTTCCGAGCTCGAGAATATTACAATTATAGAAATGGAATCCTAAGTTATTAACATGTGTGAACTATTTTTAATTAAGTGTGTCAGTGTGTGAATTGTTTCATTTACAGTTACAATGTTTTTCGTTGTGTTCTCAAAGGAACTAGTGGAATACAGTGAAGAATAACAATAAATTTGAATTGTGAAAATATCTTTTTTGGAATCTGAATTGTTTCATTCTGCAATTGTTTAACTCGAGCAATCTTTAAATGAAATGGAACTGGACCATATCAGAAAAACGCATTTTCGGAATAACTGGTCATATGGCACGTTCTATCAGAGCATTACCGGACAACGAGTATATGTTACATTGGTAGAAATTTTGCTTCTTTCTTTTCTTTTCTTTTCTTTCTTTTTTTTTTTTCAACAGATTGTTGTATTGTTCCCCGCGTAAGCGATCAAACAGAAGTCGCCTTTACTACTTAGTGAGTAAAGGGAAAACGATCTTAAAGAAAACAAAGGGGTCTTTGCTTTTGACAGGCAAAAGGAGAACTTGCTTGATGAACAATCTCCACCGGCTTTGTTTTAGAAATGTAGCTAAATACAAATCGTGCAATACTTCAATAACATAAACAAAGTTATTGAATGGAGGGATTATTTCTCAAGGGAGCATAAGCTATTTTTAGTTTGCAGAAATAGCCAACACTTTCTAAACATTGTCACTGAGAATCATTTTAAGCCAAAGATTTCTTCAGAAATTCAAGGGCCAGATCTGGATGTTAAAATCGACGACGGACAACGAATTTTCGCCGAAAGAAATTGTAATTAACTGTTCTTCATTTCTAGCCTGTTTACTTAAAGGATTTAATAACAACACTTCGATAGGTTATGTGTTTGTTCCGTTAATGTTTGTTTAACGCCGAAGCTTTGAACAAGGCACGATCACAGTGAAACTTACCTAAAAGCGACAATTAAAGGATTTTTTTTTTCACCAAAGTGGTACGCAAGGATTAAACAGAGTTAAAGAGAGAATTAGCACTGTTGTAAGCTTGCTGAAAAGCAAAACGTGTTCACTTTTATGACAAACTAATCCTTTCTAATCTACCGTCACTTATGAAGAAAGTCGCGGAAACGGAAAATGTAAATAAGCCTCCAAGAGTAAGTGTCAGTCATTCAGGGTTTATTGAATTCAATTCGTCGGTCGAGAGAAATCCTGTAATTCCGGAATTTCTTTCGTCACTATATTATAAGATACGCGTACAGTAACATACGTGATAGTTTCGTGAGCCATCCAGGCCATGACTACCGTGTAACACGTATCTAACTATGTTAATGTTGAACAAGCCCCCGAAGTAATTATCCACTAAAGTAAATAGCACCGAGTCGCATGAAAATACAAATGGAAGCAACTGGCAGTAAACCCATGACCAAGATCCACAAGTCAGGATTCACCAGGAATTCGATATCTACCCACAACCTTCTGGAAAGTTCGAAGTATTATGTACTTGGTAAGAGAGAATCCACGCCCGAAATTGACCTCGACACGTCGGTTCCCTTTCGTCGTGAGAGTATCACATTGAGGACTAAATCAACAGACATTATGTCGTACAACCTATGGAAATCTCGCCGGAGTTCTTTACCTAATTACTTGCCCACTGGGCAAAAGAAAATTCCAAGTTGCTCGGGGTTTTCTGTACCTTTTGTTTTAACAAAGGAACCGAAAGTGCTACGCAAGTATTCTACTTCTCTTGGGAGCACTGAAAACCCGGAGAACAAAGAGCAAATGAATGAGGTAAACCCTGGCAAAGACGCTGCGAAAAAAGATGCAGTATCAACGAAGATTCGCGTATTGCCAAAAGAAGAAACATGGGAACAGGTATTTCGACGAGAAAGCTCGGCGATAACGCAGGGATCAAGATCATATTGTGATTCCGTTTCAACGCTAAGAGGTTCGAGTATTTCTTTACGAAAAAGTGGAGGAGAACATATGGCATATTACGCAAAAAGTGACAGCATAAAGCGCTGGCTCAGCGAAGTAGAATAAAAGAATCAAGAGATTATTCTTAAATCCGAGCTTACCCAACCTTGCTTCATTTTACTAAGTAATAAAACGTAATTTTAAGAAAATGAGTTGAAAGAGAAAACTTCGGCAGAAAATTATAAATCTTGGAATAGCTACATATTTCGCCACGTGATTTCTGGAACCGTTTTATTTTAATGTCATTGGCGTTGCGCCTTCACGATATTGATCAATCGATACTGCCACAATTCATGATTTGCTCAAACGTTTTGTCCCGTTCGGGGACTGAAAATTTGTAGTAAAAGAAAGATTTCGCCCGCTTCCGTTTGATTTACTCTGATTCTTTTTAACTTAAACTCGACGAATTCGCCTCGTAGGAGCAAAGGGAAATTTTTACTCATGGAAAACCCAGCTAGTTGGTTACACTATGTCAAGATGTTGAGGGGCAGAAGTGAGGTTTGGAGACAAAGCGGAACTTCATATCATTTACCACTTAGGCCTTTTGCATGCTGGATTTTGAGCGAGGATGTCACTATCCAATGACTAGGCGTCCTTAGGAACCGTCAATAAGATGGAGACCAGCTGCTACCGCAGAGTACATCTAAACAATGATTTAACCATAACATAAACTGACACCCTAAAGCGCCATATTTTTCGCTCCTTCCATTTTATGGATCTCAATTGACCATGTTACGACGACTGGAATTATTGACAAACCTCTTCGTTTGTCTGTTCATTGAAAGGTACGAATAGTACGATTTGTGGTCGATCTTAATGATTTAGTTATAAAACTAATTAAAAAAAAAAAAAACTCATATAAGCTGTGACTCATGTAAGACGAAACAATTTTACTAATTTCCGCTCCATTGTCTGCACCGGGGGAGGGTTCACTTTCTCACGCCAACTTAGATAAAATTTGAGGATCAAAATTTATTACATAACATGGCATGGAGCAAAGAAAGATTATCTTTTGATTGCCATAACAACTTCGCCTCATTAATTTTTGTAAATTGCTTTTGGCAGTATGTTGTGCAACTGTCATGGTGGATTTTGGGTTTTGTTTTCAACTTAGCCCAGCTCTTGGAAAGCAAACAACGGCGGGCTGAACATCGCAGTAGATATCACGAAACATTTTGTGTCTTAAAATAGAGGTAAACGCCCATTATCCAGACATCACGTACAAAACGCGTGGTCCAAGATTTACAACTTTCCAGGACCCATTTGTGACCTTTGGATTAGCAACGACCGATTCCTCCTCACGGAAACACGGAGGCTTTGGCGGGACTTTGATATCGATTAGACCCTGCAAACACCAAATGAGCCACATAGCTATCCATCAGGAAAAGAAAAATATATGTATGGGTACTTTCAATTGCTCTTCATTATCTAAAAGACATCATGACCGCAACTTGAGTATGCACATAGTATAAGTACCAACTTTTCCGAAACGTGATCATGAAAGCCCAATCAATTATAGGCACTGTAACGGGGAGGGAGAGAGGAACTCGGGAAGTTTCTATTTCTCTTTAATAGCTCTCCAGAACGACATTTGTTTCCTTGTTCTTTTTATTTGGTCTTTTGACATTCTTGACGGTCAATTGCACATTCGTTTCGAAACAGCAAAACCTCGATGCGTATTAAAGGAGAAAAAAACATGAATTCTACGCTCTCTACCAGCACTTTATGAAGAAATATGTCAGCTTTATGATAAGAATTTGAGGCTCTAAACGGTACGTAACGCAAAGCCACAAAAATAAATCGTAACTCAACAAAGTAACATCTTGAAAATACGCTGAACGTCATAAATATTCTATCGACTTAATTTAACACAATGAGAGAAACAAACAAAATGAATTAAATACGCCTATGGAACTTATGTAATGGATATGTTTTCTCTCCCAAAGGACTAAAGGTTGTTAGCACAGAACTTACCTCATCAATCAGGGTAAAATGAAGCTTACTTTATTGACCAAACCTCTTCTAGGCACTCAGTGTAAATATGTCAATTATCCCCAAATTGTCTTTCGACTAACATTTTGCATAATTATCAAACGTTTGAAATATTTCCCAAAATTACCTGCTTCAGCGGGATAATCAGGAACGGGAACGGAAACGGAACCTCTTCTATCAAGATATTTCCTTCCTGAGACAATCCTTGAATCGCTATTAATGATCCACGAAACATTTCAAGAGTCATTCAAGAATCGAGAGAGGCTCTATGTATTGCAGCCATGTATCACGCAGGAAATAAATTCATTGTTTAAAGGGAAGTTTATCGAAGTGAAAAAAATCTGTTATTTCGAGCGCAATTAACTCTGTATTTGTTTTATCTAAGATACCATTTAAAAAGCAGAGGGATAAGTTAAAAATATATCTCGATGATACTAAATTGTGTGGACAGAGAAAGAAACTGAACATGAATGTGATCTTCGCAATAATGAATACTACTTAAGTGACTAGTTACCTAAGTGTCTAAGCTAACACTACTTATCAAGTGAAATACGGCTTGAAAAAAATTCAGGCCTGTACAGGATTTGAACGCATGTTCAAGCGATACTGGTGCAGTACTCTACCAACCAAGCTAACTAGGCTGTTATGTTCGCTCCAAATAAACCCGTAAAGTGATAAACAAATGACGGTGAATAAATGAAAATCATGTATGTAAACTGCAAATAAAGAAGTGAATATGAAAGCGATCTTCGCAATAATGGACACTAGTTATTAGGCAGTAGTGGAAAAAACTACTAAACTAACCACTACTTAGCAGTAGTAAAAAAACAGACAGCAGGAATAACCTTAGCAATCTTCTCCTCGCTCACATATTTTACTCTCGAGGAATTTCCCTCATAAATGTTGAAATTCAGTCTTATTTCGATCAACTTGATTTTCAATTCAGATGCACGTGACTGCACTTTCGATTGATTATTGTTTGATTGAACCTATTTGTTTTCGTACGTTGTTACTGTATCCTGACAAAGAAACTGGTCACTTCCAAAAGCTTAAGTTATAAACTAACATTGCGGCAGACGAATCAAAGAGGACGGCACGTATCAGAAGATTCAAGTTAAATATTGCTTTTTGTTGCGATTGGGAAGAACGGGCTTAGGGTGCCATAAGAAGAAACTGTGGGCTCTAATGGAAAATAGCGAGGTCAATAACCTCTGATATCAATTACCATAAAGTTAACTATTAATAAACTTGCATGGGAAGGTTTTAAAATTGCGCTTAGAAACACATAGCATACTATCATCACTGAATATTTTGTTTCACATCAACATATGTCAGATAACTGAAGCTTCTTCTTCAATCAGTTTCACGAGAACTGAGAATGAGTCACTGCCCGTAGCTAATGACTCGACCTTAGATATTGCCGACTTAATTTCACCCGCAAAGTGTGATAACAGATGTGCATCTCTAAATATAGAGTATCGTTCGCAAGGAAAAAATTTTGAGGCATATCGTACATTCGTTTCTCTCTCTGTGTTCACTACAGGAGGATGGAAACAGGGTGTCAATTTTGTATCCAGATTCCAATCTAGAAAATGAGATCTTAACGGTGGCCATCTCTTAATTTTGTTCGACGTTTTCATGAGTCAGAGCCTTTGGTTCCACTGACGTGTCTCCGCTTTTTTACCTGTTAATGGACCTCTTTGAACTTGAGGAATAGAAGAAGGGTTAAGAAAATTGTCACTCAGCTCACCGGCTGAATTAGAGTCATAGCTTGTAAAAGGCTGAAGCGAATCCGGCGATTTGTCAACCTTCAATACGGGCAGACTAATCCGTCTTTGCCGAGGTCCTTGGTTGACACTCACTCCACCTAAGACAGAATTGTCCCCAAACATCCATCCGTTTGCTTCAGTTATTCGAATGGGAGTACTTGTATACTTCTTTACTGAACAAGGGTTTTCATAAAACGCAGGCATATGTGCATCCAGATTCACTTCTCGTTTTGCCAGCTCCACACGTCCTCCTTCGAGAAACTGATCGGGTTTTAGCTGAACGGGTCTACTAGGCAGTGATATCTTTCTACGACGATGCAATCCAACGAAACCTCCATTTGCTGCCGTGCTTGTTGCATCTTGAACACAATTTACAGGTTCATTTCTCTCGCCAGCAGCTTCCAGCGAGCCAAGAGATTTAGCGTGTCTTGGAATGCTTCCGCTGGAAGATGAAAGGCGTCTTCGACGTCCGTTGCCATTAACTTCGTCATTTTTTAAGTTCACTGCGTCGTTAGCCATACAGTTTTGTTCCTTAGGCTCAATAAAACTTGACATCTGCGGAGAAGGGAAATTGTGCGAGTCCATTACACTGCCAATGCCTTTGTTGATATATTTCTCAGCATTAAAAATACGAATTCATTTCGTCACGGGTAAATAAGCCCATTTTGAAGTCATTGCCCCCAGCAATTAATTTCGCCAATTACTTTATTTCAAACTTTAGAACCTTTAAACTAATTTTAGCCCACACCGCTGAGCACACACCGTGTGGTTGACAGCTTTCATGGAATAAATTAATTTTGGCTCCTCGAACCAATTGCACCGTAGCTTAGACTAACGAAACGCTTGCCCTATAACTTACTAGTCGTCATAGCTTATCCATGAATTAGAAATGGCATTCCTTTTATAAAGAGAAGCGTCCTTCATTTTCCTTGGTTTGTATCCTATTATTTCATTTGGGCGCAATCGTGATTTCGTCTTTCAAAGGTTTCGTTGAGCAGACTGTACACAGATTCACCCATGCAAAGCAAATTGGTTCCAAAGTTTGATAACTTTGAAAAAGCTTGAAGGGGGGTATATTTCTGAGACCTTCTCTGAATGTTTAAGGGAAGGTGTACAATATTTCCAGACACTACATTTACTGTGCGCGAAACGCCAGTTAATCAATGACAAAATGAAACATCAGTCAAAACAATAGTTTACATAAATTACAAATATCTCATCTAACCAAACAACAGCTCAGAAAAATGACTGATCTCGACCTAATCCTGACCGTGGGGTAGACAGTTGCCTGTGATAGTCTTACCAATGAGATTTCTAAAGTCTGAATAACGAAACAACTAGTCACGCGCGAACACTCCGACTGCTTTAATTAATCACGAAAATATTTTAAATTTTACTTACATTGTAGATATTTCGTAATAACACACTGATATCATTTGCAGACACTGGATAAGGTTCGTTACCTCACCATTAGGGTCAGAGAATTATGCTGGCATAATTTTGGGCATAATGCTATAATTAAACTATCGAGCTTAATGCCGGCATGGCTAGGCTTCTTTCCAATTCCCTTGATGTTACATTTCAATAAGAGATAAACTTTTATTCTTAACAAGTTTTACCTGTTAATGATAGGAATAGAAGGGGTGGCAGGTTGAGGGGCTCTCAAAAGTTTTTTTTTTCTTTATCAAATTTAGCATGAAGAAAAATTTTAAGTTAAAGTTTCGGCATAATGCCATGTTTTCAGGGGCGCCGTTCAAAAGCATACTGTTCGGATTTTCGAGCATAATTTATGTCATCCTATTCTGCGTAAAAGAAGAGACTGTTCTCTCCTACCAGATTAGAGGTAGAGATCGATCCCAACGCAGGATTTTCTACAATAGAAAAGAATCTGTCTTTTCTTTTGGTCTTTACGAATTAGCATATAATATGTAGTTTAGTACGACTTTTGATTACTAATTAGCAAACTTTTACTAATTAGATTATGAAAGGAATCAAGTGAATGCATTCTTATCGAGCGAATCTACAATCTCATGGAAGTTTTCGTTCCATCAGTAAAACATGGTCTTCAGTTTTCTTGTGCAGCAAGCCGCTACGCGATGATAATTCTCTTATTCAGTGGCCAGGAAAAAAGATGACAAGCCAAAGTAAATAAAACTAGATGTAAGGTATTAGATTAATTAAGCTTTAGCTTGTTGCGTAAATTGCCAAACAATCCACTGTCTGATAGCATGGCAATGCTAAATGACCTTGGGATAACAACGCATTGTTTAAAGAAGTATGGAAAGTATGAAAAAAAAACGGAAGAAATATGCTTGGAACTAACACCTAGTTTTGTATTTTCTAATACTTTTTGATGGCCAGAACCATCACGGGACACCTTGAACTAGTCTGGTGCAAACATGAAACTCAGAATCCAAAAGATGTAAGTTTCCTAATAACCCTCTTATAGCTGTAGTTTCCTATGCGCTCCAGCGATTTTTAAGCTTCTTGTCTCATTTCCCTGGCTCACTTGTCGGGTTTTTTGCCTTTTTGTTATATACTCTCCATGTAAGCTGTTACGTATTCTTTTTTAGCAGAGGTCAGTTCGTATCCTTTTAGCCATGTTTCTTTTTTCTTTTTTTTTTTTCTTTTTTGTTTCTCGTGTTTGTTTGTTTTTTTTTTAATTTCAAGCTTTAAAATAATTGTTAGTTTCATTGGAGTCAGAGGTTAAACCACGGCAAGGAAGCGTTTGGCGGCTTTCGTCACGAACATCAGTTATTATTTATAACCGAATTAGTAAGTCAAATCAAGGTATCTGTTTTGCAACAAACACTGCAAGAGTCTCCGCTCAGCATTGAAGTCTCTTAAGCATCCTATCGAGAAAGTGACGCTAACGTGCATTTGTTTTGCATTTTTCCTTCGACGTTCCCAGATATAAAATCAATAGCGATTGGTCTAGACCTGATTGAGATTGCTTACACCGCACCATATTCCAAATATCTTAATAACAACTTTAATATATTGATTCATTAAAGTGAAGCATTTTTCGTTTCTTCCTTGCATATCTTTTGATTGGCTCTGGGAGATAAAGCGTGAGGGTGCTTCTGCACTATTGCTGGTTGATGTCACCGAGTATGCGGAGCTATTCATGTTCATTTCACGACGCAATGTATTGTTACGCTAGCAACCAGAAAATAATTGAATAAAGAAAGAGAGTAAACAAATCAGTTTTATTTGAGATAAGGGCAGCTGTTCATGCGAGAGGAAAGAAGTTGAATAATGTAAGATATCTTTAAAATCCATCATTTAGAGATATTTTTTAAGTGTTGAAAGGAAAGTGCTAGGTCACTATGCCAGCACAGCCTCGAAAAGCTTCGTAATCTGAAGATTCTAGAACACTGAACATTCTCGAAAATATACAGGCATTTTTTTGGGTAATGATATGAGTTATTCGGTATTCTATTCATGCCTCGTCCCTCTCCCGCAGCCAAAGCTGCGGATTTCCTATACCGCTGAGTCTTTTTTGTAGCATACCCCTTTGTCCACTTCCATTGTTTAATGAATAGCTCACTTCATTTAATTTCTTTTGTTGATAAACCCGCCCTAGTTTCAGGTCTAGAGGAACACAACAGTTCGGAAGCAACACTAAACAACATTTTAGTGCTAGTGGAAAGTAGTATCTGTCCTTCTTTGTGGTAAAGGGTTAAAAGATATTCCGAAAACATTAACTTATCAAACTACAACAAAACCTTCGTCTGATATTTGGATTATCATCATCACCGATATCAACATGAAAAATTCTTTCAACCGACATGCCATAGGAAAGAAAATTTCTTTGGACTATTCTCGTCATCTTTGCGATGATTCAATGACAGTATTAACTAAAAGGCCTTCTAGATCCTTCAGTGACACTGCCGCCATCGAGTTTATCAGAAGGAGAGCTCTTCAAGGAAGCACTGACTTTCATGAAAAGGATCCAAGGTTTGTTAACTCGGCGAGCACTGAAAGAATTTATCAACAAGTTTGCAATAAGGACCAGTCATTTCTTAACAAGTATAGAGACAAGAACTTAAGGGTAGAGGCACACGGCCTACCAGAAACGAAACGTCCCGGCTGGACAAGTAGTTCGGACAGAAATTCAGTCGTTAACCCGGCGAGCACTGAAAGAGTTTGTCAACAACAAGTTTTCAATAAGGACCAGTCATTTCTTAACAAGTATGGAAACAAGAACTTAAGGGTGGGGACACACGGCCTACCAGAAACAAAACTTCACGGAAATACAAGCAGCTCGGGAAAAAATTCAGTCGTTCACGCGTTCACAATAACTAGCAACGATGACGAAACTCGATCATGTTGTGATTCTGTTTCGTCGATCATTTCGAGTAACTTTGCTAACCCTGACGGGAAAGGACAAAGAGAAAGCAAAGTTAATGGCCTTCCGGATAAAAAAGAAAAGTTTGATTCCATAACAACGTGGCTTGAGAGCTTACCCAGACCAGTTTTATAGTTTGTATGTTACAAAAGCTGAAAGAAACGGTACAAGCATGCTTGTAAAGATCCTCGAAATCACCCGAGTAGAACACGTGTTAACAAGGTGGTCGTCACTTGTTAAATTTTAAAAGGGTAGCATCAGATCCCGTTAATCGGATGAAATTATCTTTTTACCAGAAACTAAATTTTTGTTTCATTACACCAAGAAATACCGAATTCTTTTTTGATGTCTCTCTGAACAGTATTGTAAACAAAACCATAGAATTTGTTTTTGCTTCAGGCCTTGTGCTAACGGGTAAGTCTTTTGTTTGGTTTAAGAGTCTGAAATTCCATGTGGGTCATTTTGAATCATCTAGATCATTTATGGAAATAAAAACCGCTAAAGTCACGAAAGGAAGGTCATTTTTGGCGCATTACACCGCAAATCGTGTCGGCCGCCTAACAAAATCAATTCAACAGTCTTGATTGCAGAATAGTTATGACGGCATGATTTCTCCAATTATGACTTTGGTTTTATTCAATTAGAACTTTAAGCTCAATGCATTGTCATAAAATACAAATAAAACTTCTTCCTGCCCCTTGTTTTTAACAAACCGATTTTATTAAATTGATACAACGTACATACGTAGCCTTGTTAAAGAATACTAGAAATTTGTACCTTCGTAGTTCCACAAAATCTTAATTAATTGGACATAGTTTGATGCTACTCTGGTTTGCAGATTCAATGAATGTAACCGAAGAAGTTACAATTCATAGACGCAACGTCTCGACACTCCTGTCTAGTGCCTTCATCAGGGCCCTGATGAAGGCACTAAATTGAAGGCACTATGAATTGTAACTTCTTCGGTTACATTCATTAAATCTGCAAATCAGAGTAGCATCAAACTATGTTTGATTGTCCACCTGGTTGCCGTGTGAACTTTAATACACTTAATTAATTGTTTAACTGTTATTGATGATTTGATAGGGAAAGCACTTAGGTGATTTTAGTCCACTGCCTAAAATTCTGCTCCACTAAAACGGTTTGGACGAATTAATGGCACTAAAACGAGCACGCAGACAACAGAGTAAATTTCTCAAACTGATTTTGCATCTTTCAAACCCATAGAGATGAAGCTTACTTTAGAACCAGTATTATTGAATCAAAACTAACCCCGTAATGTTTAATCAGCTTTAACAATCTAGGCAAAATAGTTATCCATCATAGAATCGGTTGAAAAGATGTACTGATTATTTTAAATGGGTAAACAGATCCTTCAGTATCGATGATAGGGATCTGAAGCCCACGACGACGGCGATGGGGACGCGGCAAAATAGTAGATTCTGGGTAGAACAAAAGTTCAGCACGTGCGTTTTAAAACTTTTTACACTTCTTGGTCGTCTGCTGCAAAAAAAAAAAAAAAAGCGTGAAATCACCAAAATTTTCGTGGTCCGAGAATGATATCTCCAACGGCAGATTATTTAAGTTACCATTGGAATCAACACTGTACATTAGCGTTATGCTGAAATTAATTGAGGTGTAGCGCTTTGAGAGAAGGTAAACTCATCGGCCATTCGTGAAATTCGTACTAAAAAAATTCATTGCACAGAACACCTATTGTTCTCGCGACATTTACTAACAGTAGCGAGAAAATATAGATCTGTAATATGAGCAAGGAAGCGCAATCTGGAGACAAAGATTATGCGGGCTTTCCTAGTCAGAAAATAGTGCTTTAGCTCATTAACTGTTCAAGGCGGAATTAAGAAACAATAGCTTAGAACGTTATTGTTTATGCTATTTGTAAATAGAATTAGAGAGATGGTGAGTTTTGAGCTTGGTAAAGAAATAGAGAAAGATGTTTATTGTCTTGTCACGAGCGTGGGACAAAAACAAATTTTTGGGTCCCCATGAGGAATCGAACCTCTCGCCTTCGGATTCCGCGCTCCAATGCTCTACCACTGAGCGAAGTCGATTACAAAGTTCCTATGACGCGCGTCCTGCATACTGCTAGGATTAGCAAAGTCGATAGCGTCATGTTTGTAAATAGAATTAGAGAGATTGTAAGTTTTGAGCTCGCTAAAGAAATAGAGAGAGATGTTTTTCGTCTTGTCACGAGCGTGGGATTAAGAAAAAATTTTATTTACAAACATGACGCTATCGACATTGCTGATCCTAACAGTATACAAGACGCGTGTCATATGAACTTCGTAATAGATCTCCCTCGCTGCAGAGTTGCTGTGGCTTAGTGGTAGAGCATTGGAGCGCGGAATCCGAAGGTCTGAGGTTCGATTCCCTATGGGGACTCAGAATTTTTACGTTCTTTTCAGAAATTTTACGCTCGTGACAAGATGAAAATCATCTTTCACTGTTTATGCTCTTGTTAGGAAAAATCACACACTACGTGCTCGTGTTACACGCTGGATGAGAGTTCGATTTTGATACTGACTGTTACATATTCATCTCTTTCTACATTTTACTGAACAAACACTTCGGTTCTATCATTACCCGGATTCGATTCGATTTTCATCGGAAAAATCAACCTGCACGATTTTTCTATAATAGTACTGACGAAATGAAGTCTTAGAAGTCACTTTGACACTTGTTTCTACGAAAGGAAAAAAAATGTCACACATTGTGTTGAGTTGAATCAGGGACAAGATGTAGTGCCTTCTATAGCTTTTGTTTGTTTACGCGGCATTGGTTAGTTTCGATGCTGAACTGTTCTATTTGTTGTTTTTCCATCAAAAAAACCTGTCGCTTTTATCATTAATTCCTTTTCGCAAAGCTGTTGTAAACCGTTTCTTTCAGCTTCTCTTGATCAGTTTCAGCACCAATCGCCGATCGTCTACCGCATTGTAAGAGGAGGCGGAGCTTAGAGAAAATTAACGTACTCGCGGGAGTTTTGAAAAAGGTCCTACCGGAGCCCTTCGAAGACAAATTTAGCGGAAAAGCCGAGGCAATAAGCGACGTTCCTAGAAAAGGTACAAAGGGCCTCTATTATCTCTCTTCTTCAAAAGCCATATGGTAAAAGTGGTTTAATCAAAGTGACTCAAATGAAACTAAGATAAAAATCGCCCCTCTGATGATTTTAAGGCCGTTTTCTCTATTGTTTGGCGCACGTTCCGGCAAGTCATTTTCAAATTTACCACCGGTAAGTCTTAACAAGTCCCGGATGTGTCGCAGCATTCTGGGTGAGCTTGAATTCATTTTGAAATCGGCGCCTTTCTTAGCGTTGTCGTCCTGACTACTTAGGTCCATAATAATAATAATAATAATAATAATAATAATAATAATAATAATAATTTTAATTTATAATAATGATAAAAATGATAACAACAACAACGATAATAATGATAATGATGATGATGTTAGTAATAAGAATAAGAAATATCTTAATTTCAAGTGCTAAAATCGATTTTCAATGGAATCTGTAATTCTCTATTTTTTATATATGCCGATAACAATAAAAATATAAATATAAATACACTACTAATATGTTTGCTAAGGAAAAAAAACAAAACATGTTTAAAAATCTGTTGACTTTGATTGAAATAGGTAAGATTTATCTAGGCTAAAATACAACAATAAAGAATTAAAGGCTGGTATTGAGAAATGTAAAAATTGGCGATAAAAAGACCCAGGAGATGGCACCTTCAATAAAGTCAATATCAATGTCATTGTTCTTAATGTCACGCTGAACTTTCCTAATGTTCCTAGAGCCTCTTATACAGACAAGAGCAGATCGCAAAAGCGCAAAGAGGATGGCTGTGGAAAATTGCTCTTCTTTCTTTGAAGCAATGAGCTATGCCACTCTACAATGAAACCTAAGGCATTCTTTCCCCATCCCACCCGTTGTCGTTGAAATCCGGCCGGGTGAGTGTTCCCTGTTCCACATCAAGCACTCTTCTAGTACTAATAATAGATAAAGAACTAATAAGAGATATTAATAATAGTAGTATAATCAACTTTAGTTAAACAGGGGAGAACACATATCACTATAAAAAATGAAAAGCCACTGCACCTCGCAGATAATTAATTATTAAAAAACCTAATCAAGTATCTATGTTGAAATGACAACCCTAAAATAACTTAAAAGAAAAGCTAAAAGTAGGTAAAGCTACAGCTGTTAATCAAAACAAAGAGACATTCAAAACATATTGATAAATAATTCAATTACAAGATAATACAGTCTGAATGCTCCTAACTGTTTTTGAAATGTTCAAAAACTGACTTCCTGAGGCTAGCTAAATTCAATTCGCTCCCGATTGTGACTTTTGTTGGAAATCCAGAGACTTGTGGTCGACACATTGAAAGACCCTCTCCCTCTGTCTCCCATTTGAATTGAGGGAAGAAAAGATTTTGTAGACCATATCTGTTCGATCTTTCGTCGAAATCGGCATTTCTTTTGAGTATGGATAAAAAAAGGGTTACCCTGAGTAAAGCCGAATCTTTAGTTTGCGATGTATTAATTGGCTAAAACCGCTAACTTGCTTTAAAACATTTAGAAAATGTTCGCTTTGTTGACCGCAAATGGAGCAACTAAGTCATTAAGTAATTATTCGTCTGAGAATGTGTGACGCACATAGTTACAACGGCCAATTAAAAGATGAACACGAAATATATTTTGAAAAACTTATTTAAAGGGTTTTCTAACTTGCGAAAATAATAATTACAGGATAATTGAAACTATATTAGGAAAAATAACATTGTAAACAATCCTCCTGTAGGGACCCTACGTTCGAGCAGATACAAGACCTAACTTGAAATACATCTTATTCACTCTAAGGATTCTGAGGCGCTGGGACAATCCCTGAAATATTCTGGTTTTCTATGACGACATAGCTAACATCAGAAATTAGCCTCACGGAAAATTACTCTGACACATCGGTCAACCCTCCAAAGAATGTTCAAAGGACTTCCAAGACAAGCGATTAGTATTTCAAGGGCCAAGTTTTTCTTATCTTGGTCTGCTTCAAAGATGTCAAACAAAATTAACCACGAACAAATATTTTATCACCAACTTTAAAAAGAAGACGTGACAAAAAACACGTGCACATCCGGGCTACAAAACTTGACGTAAAATTTCATGCAAACACAGCAAACGATCATCTGTTTTCTTATGTCTCTTGTTAATTCCCCCAGTAAATCGCTCAAGAAGGAAACAGAGGCATTGTGTGAACAACGATCTCCAAAGTGCGAAAGAATTGGGTTTCTATAGTAGCTGAATTTCTGTTCTTACTTTCAAAATGCCTTTCCGCTGAAAGACATTAATAGCGCCGCGAAAAGTGTAGAAGAAATGAAAGCAGTTTTACAAAACTAAAACCCATTTTCCTTGCTCTACACATGGCTCTTGACTGAATGGCTCAGAATTGCATCAGCCTTATGTCTCCAAGAAACGGATAAATACAGAAGTATTCTGGGTCGATTCACAGAAATAGCTCGATCACATTTACGATAACTAAACGCCACTCGAATTTTCTTCCTTTAGAAAAGATGTCTTCCCTTAAGAGCAAAGTAAGTTGATAAATCGTAGGCTTTCTATTCACCACCAGAATGACCATTGCGAATATTCATTTTATCCCCCATGGCGTGATATGACTGTCAATCAAATCACTGAATCAATTTGACGCACTGACTTCG